TTCCCAAACCCTTGTGAGAGTTCGCTCTGAGTAGCGCGCCGCGCCAACTGTGTGGTTTTGTAGACAGCTCTTGTAGACCGTCGAGACCGAAATGACAATATTGCGCCACTTGGTTCAGGCGAGTGCTCGCTTTCGCGTGACGAACGTGCGCGCACACAACAGCAGCCTCGTGGTCGCTGCAAACGTGAGGCTTTGCCATGCTAGGGCATAATAGTGTAAGGCACGAAATGCGAATTGCTAATCTCAACAGACATTTCTCGATTGCATCTTTGCATCTAGTACGTAGTAGTGCTGTGCCAACACAATTGGTTGGCACGTGTGAAATGCAGTGATATTTCGACATTTTTCACGCGGTTTCCCGCCACGAGACAGTGGGCGAGACAGTGTTTCCATCCAGCGCAATCATCTAGACCATTACCGAGGTCGCACCGAGGTGCTTGGCAACACATGTTGCTTGGCGCGGCCGGCCAGCGACATTGCCCCATGGCGATCGGACGGGTCCTTTGGCGGGCTGGCTACGATTGTGTCTGCTACGTGAGCGTTCAAACCTGTTCCTTGTGCGCGCCAGAGTGTGGCCTAGCCCCCTCCACCCATCCATTAGCATCACCCGACGATGTCAAGTGCGAGTGTACTGTTTACATGCTCTCCGTCGCAGCCGGTGTCGGTGGCATTACAACTCGACGGCTGGATCTGCCAAGACCGCTGTCGCAGCCATTTTGACGGAGCGCAATTTTGAATTTGTGTCGTGGGCCACGCATCGACAGCATGGTCAAGCGCCACCTCCTCGACGATTTGTCCAAGGACTTGCCGCCCCACTTTCTCGCGGCGCCGCCGCTCAGCGACGACGAGAGCGAGTACCTCCAGAAGCTTGCGCACCAGTCATTTCAGTCGTTCCTCCAGTCGACGCTCGATGTGCACCCGATTGAAGTGCCGGGTTGGAAGTCCAAGGGGTGCCATGAAGGCGTCGACATCTTCCAGGGTCCACGCTACACGTCGGCGTCCAACATTCGCCCGTACCGCTTCATTACGTCCATGGAAGGCACCCTCGAGGAAGTCGAGGCCGTCCTCTCCAACGTCTCGGACGACCAGATCCAGAATGCCCTCGAGCATTACCTGGAAGGGATCCTCGACATGACCATCTTGCACCATGTGAGCTCGCCGTCCGCGCTCGATGAGTCGTCGACAAGTGAGCGCAGCGACGCGAGCGACGCCCCGAACGAACATATTCTCGTGCGCTGGTTTGCGACGCAGTGCCCGCGGCCGCTCCACAATCGCGATTTCTGCGTCCTCGAGGTACATTGGCACATCTTTGTTGGCGGTTTGAAAAGGCTGATTAATGTTGAATCAGATGAACCGCAAGTGGACCCTGCCGTCAGGCAAGCGCGTCTGGGCGGCATCCCAGCACTCGATTCGCCTCCCGACGTGCCCCGATCTCAAGCCAAGCCTCAAGTTTGTGCGCGCGTCCGTCTTCAACTCGGGGTACGCACGACGACAATATTGTCGATTTGTGAAAAAGGAATCAACTCATATGATGATGGTTAGCGTGCTCTACATCGAGTCGGACGAACCTGGGCGACTGGAGATGCACATGCGCCTCGAACTCGACTTTAAGGGGCCGACGCCGCAGTGGTTCTTCAAAATGATGATGAAGCGCCGGGCTGCGAGCTTTGGCCGCGTCGGCAGCTACATTGAAAAGTACCGTGTCTTGCAGCAGCTCTCGGCGAGCTCGGGGCGCGACCGCACCGCTGTCGTAAGACGCTCTCGATTCGATCTCAATCTCAAACTTCATAGAAAATGATCCCGCTCAAGAAACGCAAGCACTGCCAGCTCTGCACGCAAAAGTTCAACCCGCTGCGATGGAAAGTCAACTGCTCGTGTTGCGGCGAAGTGTTTTGCTATAAATGCACCGAGCACCAACGCGTGCCGGGCCGGCCACGCGACATGGAGCAAGTGTGTTTTGCCTGCGCCCGCCCCCAAGAGCTGCAAACCGGCACCCCGGTAGTCCTCGGTACGACATTGCCGTTCCCACATGGAGAGGTGACATTGCACTTGTAGGGTCGCCCATCTGGAGCTCGCCGACGCGCCACAGCACGTGTGTATATCGACCGGCCGCAGCCGCCGATGTGCTCTGCGCCACGCTCTCGGTCGGCTGGGAGGAAGCGGACGAAGCATCGGTGGAGCCCGAGTCGTACATCCAAGGTGCCTCCGACATGAGCGAAGACTCGTGGTACGACAACGATCTCAACGACTCGACGGGCTTTCAGCGCCGGGACGAGAACGACGACGTCGACTTGGCCGATTTTCAGCTCAATTTGCAATTTCGCCCGTCCTCCGAGCGTCGGGTTTAGGATTTACGACCGTTAGTGGCTAGCTCTATTTGTCAAGAACACGCGCTGTATCTGTGCTCTACCTCGTACCTCTCCCGATAGTAGTTCGATCGTCGCACGCCAGATTCCGTTGTCCTCTGCGAGAAGCCGGCATCGCATTGTTTGTCAAGAGGCTGACAAGGGTTGGGCCCATCCGCCGATACAGTAGATACGGCGTGGTGCCGAGTGCAAGGGATTTGCTGACTACGCTCTAACGTATGATTCTCTGAAGCAGCACGTGCGTCCCATCTCGCTCGGGTTGCGATGAACGCGCGAGTCAAAGTCAAAGCATGCCGGGCCAAAGACCTAGCCCTCAACAAAAAAAGACTCATGTGTTACGGATGACCTATCTGGGCGAGGCACTCGGTATCGCAATCTATCAGCAAGGGCGCCAACGACTCACCCAAGGCTGCGGATCGAGTTCACAGGTGGCTCTTCGATTCGAGCCGACATTGGCATATGCAGAGCCGTGGCCATTTGCTTCTTCTGCTCATTCGTGCGCCGAGCAATCATCTTCCAGACCGCGCCGTCTGCCGCGCCTTGACTAGCGCCTGATTTATGACCACCAAGGACTATTAACCTTACGCATTACGTTTGCCTTTCACAAAATTCAAAGCATTAGCATAGCGTTCATCAACATCAACGTTTAGACGAAAGCGCAAAGACTACGCAATGAAAAAGATACTAGTACGCTCTTGATCGAGGTACTCAATGCGTGACCACGTCCGCGTGATCACTCGTGGTGTAATGACATCACGCCGGCGCGTTGCGCGATCCTTCTCCGTCACAATGGCACCAGCTTCTTTGCAAACGGGCTACGATTACTGGTAGCTATACGAGTTATTGATGGAGCCGCAGCAGCTGCAACGTTCACTTAAGCGGAAGAATGGAAACATGACTGTTTGAGAGGACAGTGCTTCGATGAAATGAATACACGTGGCACTGTGGACGTACGTTGCCAGGTCGAATCATGTGTGCCGCGTGCACATTGCAGTTCCAACGGCGGGAAGCGGTAGAAGTGGTGCAGCAGGTATCTTTTTGAAACGCCTTTTTCCAAGAATTGAAGTTGCACATCGTTTAGTTCTCCACAACCCCTCGTGCAAACAGAATACAAACAGAATGCACGATTCGATATCGACGACTCGTGACAGGTCGGAGCAACCCGAGAAGTGGATGAATCGTGGCCAAGCGACAATAACGTTAGAAAAATATGGCCCCTTGGTTGTGCGCCGCTCGCCTTTGTACCAGGCACGGTGCAACGTTGCTCGGGTCGAGAATGATGCGTACGAACTTGACGGATCGTTTACTTGGCCGAGTCGACACGCAAGATTCCAATACGAGATATCCCACGAGCAATCGACGGCCCGTGAGCAACGCGCGCGGACCACTGTCATCTCTACAGCCACCGTCAAGCGCCCCCGAGACACGTGTGTTGTGCCTAGCGGACTCAGCGCCTTGTCTTGGGTACACACCTCTCTATCTACTGCGATGCTTTTGCTGGGTGGAGTTGAGTCAGCCACCCTTTTGTTTTTCTTTGGGCACCCCGAGTTTGCCGTGCATTTGGCCTGCGTACCGTCATACGGACGGCCATATGGCGCTGTCCATGTCCGGCAATCCAGAGTGGTATCGCGCGGAAGCATCATCGAGCCTCTTTGCACTTTGCAGTTTACCCCGCGACACACATGAGCTCCCACCGCGACGAGGTACCCTTGTCCCTTGCCCAGGCAGCGTCCATTACGCGGGATGGCCACTCTGCGGCCAATGACCTTCTGGACCACTACCACGACTTTTGCTCGGCCCCCGCGTCGTGGCGGCTGCTTCGCAACGAGCGCAACGTTCAACTGTTCCAAGGTCCTGGCCAACACGTGCGCAGTGCGTACCGATTCGCGACGTCTATTACCGCATCGCTGGACGAGGTCAAGGCCCACACGACCAACCTCACACCGAATGACATGAAGGCTACCATGGACAAGTACGCCGATGGCATCCTGGACATGAAGGTGCTGCACCGGCTTCAGACACCAACCGTGGCCGAACCCGAGCTCCAAGTACTTGTGCGCTGGTTCGTCACCGAATGTCCGTCGCCGTTGCACCACCGCGACTTTTGCGTGGCCGAGGTATGGTGTTGATGGTGTCGTCTTGTCGGTAGTCATACAACCGCTGCAGGTGCAAAACCGGTGGACGTTACCGTCCGGACAGCGCGCGTGGGGTGTTGTCCAGCACTCGGTCAAGGTGCCAAGCTGTCCGGACCTACTCTCGACGGTGCGCTACCAACGAGGCCAGATGTATCATTTTGGGCTCTTGTACGTCGAGGACCCGAGTCGACCCGGCGTTCTCACTGCGTTTTTGCATCTCGAGTTTGACTTCAAAGGCTGGACTCCGGCGTGGCTATACCCGTTTCTCATGGCGCGGCGAGCGCGCAGTGTATCGAAAATCCCGCATTTTCTCGCGGCGCGGCGACTCGAAGATCACGGCGGTACCCGCCGGTCGCGGACCGTAGGCGCCGACGAGCACAAGCACTGTCAGTACTGCACGCGCAAGTTTGGCCCGCTTCGGTGGCGCGTGCGCTGCAGCAGCTGTGACGAGGTAGATCAACTCGATGATTGCATCCGATGCAAACATGTATGTGGTAGGTGTTTTGTACGCACTGCGCCCCCCCAAGGGATGTCGATCGCACGTGCGTCGAGTGCCAGTTTCAGAGCGCGTGTGCTTCCCGCGAGAGCACCGACCGATCGTCTGGTACGAGCGCCGCTATCGCAGTCAGCGCACTCAATACGTAGGGGTAGGCTCGAATACGACGCCGGTGCGCCGAGTTCGCTCGTGGCGCGACATCACGCAAGTGACATCACACTCGCACGCCCGGGACCGCATGTGCTTTGCGACACCCGCCTCGAGCGAGACCCAAGTAAAGCTGGGGAGTGGCTTGCCTCTCATGGACTACGAGCTCCAAATTGCGATCGAGCCGCGTATCAAGACCGACAACGACGGCGAAGACGACTGGAATTTGCGCTTGCTGCGAGTTCAAGCCCAGATTCGATACGAACGACGTCAGAGCCGGCTTTGTTACCGCAAGGATGCGTTTTCCTAAGGCACACCGCTTTGTATACTATATACTCGAATCTATGTACCGGGCTATAAAACTGTGCTATTTGGAGCCCAACACGGCTATGCACTCCCTCTTGTGCAGTGTGGGGGGCTGTGATCACTGGACCAGTTTTACCCTACCCCTCCCTAGCCCTATAGACCAGCAGAAAGGCTCGCGCGTACTCGATGGGTAATGCGTTTGACGGATTCTTAGGTGCACCCGACGTTCTATCTCACCTTTACGCACGACCCAGCCTCTTCCAGTGTTATGTCGGCATCTGATTCGGCACCATTTCAAAATTACAAGAACAATGACATGGATGCATATGCACGCAAACTTACTCGCCGACTGCTCTACTGAAATGGGTTCGACGAATTGGTTCGACTGCATGGTGGTGCGTCTCGAACGAGCCTCGACCAACTGACGTTATGGTTGGCCCATTCTTCTCTTCTACATAATCGGTACAACCTCCGCAGTTGAAGGCTTGGTTTGGCTCGTCCATTTTTCTCTGGCCCACACGTGTTGTCTTATGCCAACTGCAATAGTTTGAGTCTGGGAGGACCAGCCAATGTGTTATGTAGCACAGTCGACGCCAGACGGTGTGCAACTGGCAGACAGCTTCAGGCACAACAGCAGATTCTGGGCAACCAATTTCGTAACGAAACCAGATCCACAGTACTAGTACTAGGATGCTGGTCGTATCTGGTGGAAACGGCGTCAGCAGACCATTGTCCAAGTATCATGTCGATACCGCACATCGTTGACACATCATTCACGAGGGTTCTGTCGGAGCTGGTTCTTATTTGAAGAATAAGAACCAACTCAGAACTAGTACATTGGACTGCAGCATTGAGCTCTCGTAATCTAGTAGTCGTGAACGGCAGCGCGCAATCCATCCGTAGAGGCAGCGATCAAGGGTCGACTCTGGTCAGACAAAGTGGCGCACGGCGATGTCGCCATGACGAGATACCGGTACAAGAAGCTGGTTTACTTTGCTTCTGGAGGCGCGCGTCTGCCGAGTTGCAAATGGCGTGTGTATTCACCAGATTTAAGATTTAATGACAGGAGCGCGACGGTCGAACGACCAAACTCGGCTCATAGCGAAGGACAGACGTGTGGCGAAGCGCGTTCATACCAACCGTGTAATGTCTATCAACACCGACGTCGGGAAAACGTACGTACTACGGTCTGGCGCCATCGCTTGCCATCCGCGAGTCATTGGATGAGTCTTCATTTTTCAAAACGCCATGCGCCGCACCACCACCTCAAGCTCACAAGTGTGCACAGACGAGCCACTACCTCTCATCGAGGCAGCGACCATCAAGCTCGACTGTCGCGCCGCAGCGCAGGACCTCTTGAACTACTACGACGACTTTTGCTCGGCCCCCGCATCGTGGCGGCTGCTTCGCAACGAGCGCGGCGTCCAAATGCTTCAAGGTCCTGGCCGACACATGCGTCACGCGTACCGGTTCGCAACCACGGTCACCGCATCGCTGGACGAGGTCAAGGCCCTCAACACCAACCTCACACCGACGGAGATGCGAGACACAATGGACAAGTACGCCGACGGCATCCTGGACATGCAGGTACTGCACCGGCTTCAGACACCAACCGTGGCCGAGCCAAACCTCCAAGTACTCGTGCGCTGGGTCGTCAACGCCTGTCCGTCGCCTCTACTCCACCGCGACTTTTGTCTCGCCGAGGTACGATACAACTGTCTTCTTGTCTGTAGACAACTGACATGAAACCGTCACAGGTGCAAAACGGGTGGACGTTACCGTCCGGACAGAGCGCGTGGGGTCTTGCCCAGCACTCGATCAAGGTGCCAAGCTGTCCGGACCTGCTCTCGACAAAGCGGTACCAGCGTGGTCAGGTACACCATTTCGGGCTCTTGTACGTCGAGCACGCGACTCGACCGGGCGTTCTGGTGCTATTCATGCACCTCGAATTGAACGTCAAGGGCTGGACACCGTCGTGGCTATACCCACGTCTCATGGCGCGCCAGGCGCGCAGTGTCTCCAAGCTCTCGCGACTCTTCACATCCATGCACGGCAAGGCGAAGAGCTCTACCCGCGCCGCGCCGACGCCCAAGCACTGTCAGTACTGTACGCGCCAATTTGGCCTCTTCCGGCCAAAAGTGCGCTGCAGCAACTGCAGCGAGGTCCGCCCTTTGATCTGTCACACACAGCGAGCTCACGGAGTGTGCTAGGTGTTTTGTGGGGCGTGCGCGCTGCCGTTTGAGAAGCGTCACATCTGCGTCGAGTGCCTCGCCGAGGAGGACGACCCGATCCTCGACGTGCAGTCGGGCAGCACTTGGAGCGGTACGTCTCGTGAAATGCACCACGGGATGCTGACGCTCTAGTTAGGCACGAGCCCGCACGGCGTCCAGTCGTGGCTTGACATGCGCAGCGAGCAGCAGCTGCGGCAGTTGAGCAAATGGGCGCGGTCGTCCCGCGGCAACGAAGAACGCAGCAACGTTCCGAGCGACCGGAACCTAAGACGAGCGCCGTCCTGTTCGACCTAGAGGTTCTTCGTGTCGACAGCCTTCAAGCGCTCGAATCGTTGCATGGAATGTGTCATACTATTTATCGTCTTCACGTTATGTTTGATCCAAGAGCCTTGTGCTACCAGAGCAGCTAGCTTCATGGTGGCATGCACACTAGTGGTGTATACCGTTCATAGACAATGCAGTATTTGCATGCCTACCTTGACCCATCATTGATACCAAGTTCACCGAAGCACGTAGCACGTGGTGTGCGTGAGGACCATGCGTGAGTACTGCCCTTGATATAGTACCCGTCGCTTGTGACGAGGTAATCACGTGGCATGCGATGTGCTGTCTAGCCCACTGTTGCGATGAGATTCAAATCTCGGTGGTGACGACCGCCTTGGCATCGAGTCTCGTGCTGTTGACACGACGCTGTCGTCGATCGCTTCTGGCTACTGTGGTGGGACCCGCTGCATCCACAGTCCAGAACTCAGCCAAGGAGGACCCCGCACTCGAAGACTACGTCTGTCCAGCCGCTGCATCGCTCGTCAGGCATGCAAATGCAGAAGGCCGGTGCGACCTCGCAAACAGAGCGTGTGAAGTCCTTCGCCACCGAAAACACCAGTCATTCATGGCTCCCAATCGATAGTCTGGACACGTGGCCGCCGACCAGTGCTAAGCGTCAAGTAAGATGAACCACAGGACGCAATATGAAAAAGGGTATTTGGGTTAAATAGCATAAACGGTTGGACGCGACTAGAAGACCTTGTCAAAGAGATCGACGTCGCCGTCGGCTTCAAACGACAGTCGAGGTTGACACACGCGCTGCATCTCCTCAAACGACGCGCGGTCCATCGACCGCTGGTGCGACCGCCGATGGCTAGTCGCCCGCTCTTTGGTGGCAACAACAACAACCGGCTCGGGCTCGATTGGCGGGTGGACGACCAGCGACCGCGACCGGGGCACGGTAAAGTCGCCAATGTCAAGCGCATCCGCTGACACACGCGCTGTGCTCCAGCGCTGCGGACGCGGCGGTCGCGCATTGTATTGCTCGTCGGGCCACGACCGACTCTGGCGCAGGCGTGGCGAGAGCTTCTCGGGCTCAAATTTCGAGTGCAAGCAGACAGTGCACATAGCGAGCTTGCGGACGCCGGACGGCAACGCGACGTCCTTCTTCTCAGTGCACGACGGACACACGACCTCGCCGCAGATGCGGCAATTGTCCTTTTTTGTCCAGGCGAAGAAGTCGCCGCCGCACACGTGGCAGTACGCCACGTCCTTGACGGACTTGACCTCCATGTCGCTGCGCACGTAGCTTGAGAGACGGCCGACGTGGCGCGCGTCAAAGAAGCTCTGCATGCGCGAGAGCGCGTGGCACCAGTTCTTTAGCGTTGTCGACGTCCACGCGTGGGGCGTCCGGCCCTTAAAGTCCACCGAGAGCACGTACGTGGCGCGGACAATGCCTTCGGTCGGGTGCGCGGAAAAGACGTAGCCCGAGGCGTACAAGCCGCCGCGCACGAGCTCAAGCGACTCGTCGAGCGGCGGGCACCCGTCAATCTTGACCGAGTGCGTGCACGACACCCACGTGTCGACGCCGTCGATAACCTTGTGCTCGCGGCACTGTACGTAGACAAAGTCGCGGTGCCGCATGACCGACGACTGCGACTCGATCATGGCCCAGTTGATCGTCATGCTCGGGCTCAGCTGCAAAAGCAGCGCCGACGCCTTGACGTGCGTCTCGACGGTCTTGGCAAACGCTTGACTCTCGGCCGTGTTGGCGACGTGGCATTGCATGATGGCCTCGATGTCTTCCAGTGATGCTTGCAACGTCACGGTGCCGCAGATCGACTGCACGTCCGGGTTGCCGTGGAGCGGCGGCAGCATCTCAAACCGCGTGCGGGCGCCCGACCCGTCGTAGGCCGCGGCCACTTGAAGGAGGTCGGTGACCGACTTCTTGGCGAGCAGCCGCAGATGCTCGTGCTGGGACGGCGAGACCGACGGGTAAAAGTCGGGGCGGAAGCGCATGGCTATCAGAACTTACTGATCTGTCCGTAGACCAAGCTGACTATTTACGTATCAAGTCCTACTTGGCTCGTTGCTTGATAGGCGGCATGACGCCTCTGGTTCGGAAGTTGCTCTTGGTGCTGCAGATCCGTCCGTGTCGCGGCCGGCAGGATCTACCTAGTTCGTGGCGTTGGCATGCGCCGTCTGCTCCTTACATCAATGCGCGTGTGGACCTTGGGGGCCCGAACTGCTGCGCACGGCCACACCCGCCATATTGCCGGGTGTGGCCGTGACGCCGCCAAGGAAAGAGCGCAGTCGCCCTGTCGCTGGGAAACGAGCTCGCCAAGTACCGATAATGGTCGAGGCCGAGGCTCTACATTGTATCCTTGAGCACCGTCAAGACCATGCGCAGGCGACGCGAAGCAGCGGAGCGGGTCGTCTGGGCCGGCGCCAAGCGCGCTTACCGTTGTGCATGAGGACGCACGCAGCGCCGTCTGGGCAGAGTCGCGCCTGCGACGACGAACGCGGCCTGCGCTGTCGATGGCGCTGTCGATGAGCGCTTGACTACTCCTGAGTACCGGTATGTGCCATAGTCGTCGATGTCATCCGGGCGCGGAAAGACGAATGCAACTGGCGCCACTTCCAGTCGATGGACCTCTATGAATTGATAATGCCCAGAACGCCAAAAATGGGCAAAGTGCAAAATGCCCAGCAAAATAACCAGTATTTTGGATGTTTTTTTGCCGGGTATTTGGCCATAATACCCGGCATATTGTATTTTTTTCTGAACTCGTTTCGTTTTTAAAAAACCCGGGCATTTAAAATGCCCACAGAATACCCGTGTATTTCGATTTACCTCAACTCGGCCTAATAACGTATTTTTGGTCCAAGAGTACAAACACAAATACAAATTTCAAGTCTAATTCGTCCAAGGAGCACTTCCTCGTGGCCCAGACCGAAGCACAGACCTCTATTGTCTTAGCGTAAACACCATAGACAGGTACGCTGTTTTTCCACTGTTCTCGCTGCTTCCTTCCTCTTTTTTCTCTTTCTTCCTTTCTTCTGTGTGCCAGACATTTTTAGGCTGCAACGTTTATGGTTCATAAGCTTTGCTGCTGCTGCACCTCCACGTCACCGCTCTTGTTGTTGTGGAATCTGGAGCATACTATTTTAGTTTCGTATGCAGCACCATTAAATGGTGTGGATGCGACAGTTTCGAGACTTGAATGCGATCCTGTGAAGATCCGGCAAAGAGTTGGCAAGGATCCTAATTGCCGGTTCTTTCCAAGATCTTGGTAGGATCCTTGCCAACTCTTTGCCGGATCTTCACAGAATCGCATTCAAGTCTCGAAACTGTCGCATCCTCATCACTGGTGGATTCTTTCAATTCCCGATTTGATCGAAAAGCAGCAACAACACTTGAACAAGCTTGATACCATGAAATGCTATAAATGCAAAAAGGCTGGCAACATCATATTCCTAACTGGAAACAAGGTGCGTGCCGACGCCACGAACGAAGAATACAAGGTCGCCCTGTGTGAAACGTGTGCGAATACAGCAACTGCAGCCGTGGATGAGGCGATTGCACGACGTGATTGAATTGTTTGAGGTTTGAAATAGTAAAAACGAAAAGAAAAATGCCTTCGGGCTAAACAAAATGATTTCCTACATGGGCTCCCTTTGGAAAAAAGATTAAAAATGAGCGGAGCCCGGTAGAAAAATGAGCGAGGCTGGAAACGGCAGAAAAATGAGCGAGGCTGGAAACGGCAGAAAAATGAGCGGACGCGATGTGTATAAAGGGTTAAATCGGCTGCGGGTTTGCACGAAGT